TTCAAACTGCAACATAAGCTAAGATCTGGAATGGCACTATCGCAAAATGCCTATCCTGAATGTGTTAATTGCAACATCGTTTTGACAGATCAGCAGTTATATAGTCTACTTGTTGTCCTGTCCATCCTGTCTTCAAACAAGTGCTGGTATGAGGTTCCCTCGTAAATTTTCGAAGGATAGAATAGAAGAAACAAATGACCCAGCACTGGATGTACTACCGTGAATTTAATACCATGTGCTCCTAGCTGACTAAGCGTGAAATGACAAAGTCTGATTCACCACATAGAACCCAAATATAGTGCTTAGATTGAAATTCATGGTAAACTCAAGGGTGAAAAGGACATTGATCCCACGAGTAAATTCAGGAAATTAAGAACTTATTAGTGTATTTCGCCACGCGGATATACGTTACAGATGCTATACTTCCTAGTTTTCAATTGAGCAGTGTCTCGTCAAAATCTTCCAGTTTTTCATCTTTTCGGAGCCTTCACGCCATGCTAAATCTATATCCGGGCTTTATAGCGCATAAAAATAGCAGAAATGAGCTTTTATCGAAGCTTCTCATGCCTGCGTTTGCTGGATAATACGTGTAAGTAGGCGGGATCTGGAACGAAGGGGTGGGGTCCGGAAGACTTCCGGACTAGATTTTAGGCTTCCGAGAAATGCTTTTTCGCTCGAAAACTTCACTGATAGGTACTTGGGGGCCCCCACAGCATGGTTGCAAAATCCCGATACCCACCAATTTGACGGGCTGCCTTTATGGGCAGAAGAAAAGCAGCACAAACTTGATTTTTTAGAGTATTAATCGCAAAAAAGTACCGCACCCTTGTATGACAAAAAATTTATAAAGGGATAATAACCAAAAGTAAGCAAAAACACCATCAGAAACATATTGTTGATACAAAATGCAAAGAATAAGCTTGATATGCAATCAACTTACCTGAATCGAGAGCAGTGCGATATCCGCCATCGATAGTCTTCATCTCAAACCATTTCTCCTCTGCTTCAGGAACTTCAAGCTTATCTGGCCGTTCCAAATGGTCTTCTTCGTTGATGGTGTTTTTCTGCTTCTCATCTTTTTTATCTTCCGATCGAGTGAAACGATGCAAGAAATTTGAAAATGTTGTCGTAGTATCTTTTCTCTTTGGTTTATGCTCTTCAACAGACTTTCGACTAAATTTCTTATCCTTTTCGCGTTCGTTCTCTTCTATTTCGATTTCAATCGGTGGAATCGAAGCCGTCATTGGTGTGGAGAACGACAGGCGATGACCGTCGACACTTCCAGCATTGCCATCGTCGGGTACAAAGGCTTTGGTTTCACTGCCAGGAGACTTGCTTGTCTCCCTTGACATTGCTAAAAGCTTAGAATTCCCTCAAAGTTTTGACTTCACTTAACAGTTTCAACAAGAGAAAGTTGGCTTTAAATTTGCAGAAGGATTTGCATCAGATAAATTCTGTAAGAAGAATAAGAAATCACATGAGAAACATAACTAAGCAAAAATCATGAAAACAAGGTGGTTGGTCGAAAAAAATGAAGTAGCCAAACTTAACGCAAACTGTAGATCTTCCGAGTCTGCAAGGTTTCTACGTCTAAAATGCGTTAAATGACGATGTTTGATTTGCAGAATGCGAACGAATTTAAAAATGGGAGCGCTCTTTTGCTTTTGTTCAAGCCGTATGCATTTTCTTTGAACTAAGCTTGTCAGGAACTTATCCGCAGTATTTGAATCTAGGTAATCTAGATAATTCATGAAGTAACGTTTATAGCAAAACAGCCTCGACATCTCGAGACCTTCAATAATTTCTATACTTT